TGAAAAATAAATATTTGTCAAATAGAGTCTATATAAAATAGATAAAATTAGTATAATTTTAATTAAGTTTGAATTTGTGTAGAACTTTATATGTAAGTAAGAGAATACTCTCTTAGAAAAAAGTAAACGCTTAAATATGCCACTTAAATATAAGAAAAATACTATTTTTAATAATATATATATATATATGATAACGCTGATAATTCAATTATTATCCATAGAATATATATATATATATATATATATATTTATAATCGTTTAATTTATTCAATCTTAATTCTCAATTATATCACATATGACATTTTTTTTTAAAAAAAGACTTATCTATTCTATTATAAAGATTGTCACCAAGAGAAAGGAAATTGGTTATCTCCTTTTTTTTATTTTTAATTTTTTATTTTTTATTTTTATAATGACTGAATATCTGAATCAATTTACTCATACCTTAACTAATCTCAATAATCATACAAAGAATCCCTCTACATAGATCAAACAAATCTTGAGTAGCTACCGTAAGCATAACCCCCAAAAATTTCATTTAGGGTTTGTTTGGGAAGTGAGTTGGCTTTTTTAGCTATTTTAGTCTTGGCTAAAAAGCTTGGTTTAGGAAGGGCTTTTTGACTTTTTGGTTTTTTTGACTTTTTTTTTGTGAGAGAAGAGTGTAATGATTATGGGTTGGATGTGATGTTTTGTTTGTTATGGCTAAAATAGCATTTTTTATCTTTTATGACTAAAATAACTAAAAAAGCCCACAATCTAACTTTCCAAACGAAGCCTTAACGTGTGTTGTAATTTTTTATTCGTCACACATGACATTGACATTCAAGATGTTTACAATTTTCCTACTAGATCTTCCAGCTTGGGCCTATACAGTGGTGGATAGGGCTGAGCAAGGAATCCGTGAAATCCGTAATCCGATCCAGTCCAGTCCAATCCAGTAGGTTTGTGGTTCTAAACCGATCCAATCCGTATTTAAATGGATTGGTTCGGATTGGTTCCACGATTTAAATGGATTGGATTGGTTCCAATTTTTCAGGATCCGTAAATAACGGATTGATTCTGGTTTCACTCCAATCCGGTCCAATCCGGACCATGCTCACCCCTAGTGGTGGACAGAGGGGGCTGGTGCGCCCGTAGTTTATCATGAACCCACTGTGATGGTCCTAATCGTACGTTTTATAAGCCTCTGCATTCATGTCATTTACAAAAAGAAATTTAAATTAATTTGCTAATTATAATCACATATTTTATTATATTTATTTTTAAAAAATAAACAATAAATATAATTTGAAAATTATATTATTTTTTAAAATAAATATAATGAAAATATATAACTATAATTATCAGATCAAATTATTATTATTATTTTTTTCATTCCACAAATAATTTACGTACATAAATTTATAAGATAAACAAGTGAAGCTACCTGTCCAAATAATTGATTGAAGGTATTTTATTTACAGCAATGCTACAGACCCCCAGTGAGGGTGACCCCCAGTGACCCCCCAGTGCCACGTGTTGGCCTGGGGTTGGCTGAAAACTCAAAAAAAAAAAAAAAAAAAAACAGTTTTTTTTGGACCAATGAGAGGTGACCCCCAGTACCCCACCGGGGGTCCAAAGCTTTATTCTTTTATTTATTTATTATTTATTGAAGAGAAGCCATACCCATATAGAGATATGAATAATTTCTTTTTTTTGGATTTCTTAGGGATGTTTGGGCTAATTTAGCGCGCACGTCAACTAATTTTCACTCGTGATAGGAGTTTGTCACTGGTCACGACATGTTCCAACTACCAAAACTCTAACCGGGAAGTAGACCCAGAACTAAATAATTTCCTTTTCTATAACAAACACAATAAGCATTATGTTTAAGATGTTTAGCTAAGTTAGCATAAGTCTTTACTCATGTGGCGCACCGAATGAAATAAGCGGTGGATTAATCCAACTTTCTTATCATCAAATATAAAATAGCGGATTCAATATATTTTATTTTCTATTTGAAATTCTCTCACTTTTAGTGACTTGTGATAAGAAAAATAATATTATTATACATCCTAATTATTATATCAATTAATATATTAATATATATTTGTTGGCTTATTTTTCCTACGAAGGAAAATATCATAAATGCGAGCGTGCCAGCAAGGATTGAAAAATCCTTACAGATTAAATTCAAGCCAATTATCAAGCGATTGTGTTGACGGTTCTTTTGCCTCAACGAAGAGGACTTCAAAATTGTCAAGTGTAGAGAAAAGAAAAAGTAAAAGAAGAAAAAGGGACGGAGAAAGATGATTGAGTGAACAATCGAAGTAATAATTACTTACCTCTACTCCTATGCTTCGAAAAGAAAGTGCATAAAATGCTTCGAAATGGAAATGCTGAAAATAAATGCTTCGAAATATAAATCTATGTTAAACTACTCCTAAGATAAGGAAAATGACAAGAAATATTGAAATCAAGTGTCTTTGATTTAAGTTCTGGATCTTACAATGTAGCCATTAATGGCTATTTATAGAAGAAAAAATACAGCAATAACTACTTAGTAACTACCCATTTCTTCCATCTTCATTCTTGTCTTGCCATGTGTCATTCCACTCATCCACTTTGTCCTCCCACTCACCCACTTTATCCTTCATATTCTCCATTATCTCTATAACTTCTTTTAACTTCCAAATGAATAAGAGGATGCCACGTGTCCTGCAATTATATAAATAATAAATAATAATAAAAATTGCAGATTTATGGTGTTAACAATATTATAACAATATAATTTTAAAATTACAAATCTCACTTATTATACAAATTATAAATATTCATCTATAGCACATCAGCTATTGTAGCATGCTCCATGAATGACGTACGGATTCTACAAAAGAAAATGCTAGAGGTTTCAAATTTTCTACCAAATAAATAACCAAATGTTGTGTGGGGCCCACAAAATTGCGGACCCCACACCCATGTAAGACGTTTGGTCATTTGTTTGGTAGAAAATTTAGTATCCCTAACATTACCCATGTGCAAGATGTTAAATGCTCCATAAATGACATACAGATTCTACCACTTCCAGCTGTGAAGTCATACTACCATTTATAAAAATAAAAATAAAAAAAATGAAAAGAAAAAAACAATTTTGATCAAAATAAAGTGTTATAAATTTCAATGGGGGTGTTTGGTAGGTTTTTTTTAGCCACCTTATAGCTTCTAACTTCTAAAAAGTTATTTTGGACTGTTTGGTTAAACTTATTTCAAACAGTTTCTGATTCTGAGAAGTTGCCCACCCCTTACTTCTGATTATCAGTTTCTGCTATGGGTATGTTGATTCACGGTTATACTCTTAGATTTTTTTATTTTTTTAAAAATAGAAAAAGACCCAAATGGATTATAGAATATTATTATTATTATTATTTATGAGAAATGTAAACAAAATAGTGAATAATAAAAAATAAAAATTAATTGAAAAAATTACTTCACAGCTTATTTAACAAACACTATTCACCAATTTAAATCTATAATCTAACAGCTATACTAAATAAATTAACAATTTCTGATTAAAATCATAATCTATAATTTAAAATCTGTTCTAACAATTACACCAAACAGAACCAATACATAACTCAACGTTTAACTGAAAGTACTTCAAAACAAATTAAATGAAAAAACAAAAAACAAAAAAGAAAAAACAAAAATTCCGTAGACAGTTCAAAGGAAAAGTCAGTAGTAGTCAGCTGAAAGAATATCAACTAATAATAATCACAAGTATGAACCATCAACTCCAATTTATATAAAGGTTAAATTACCCTGACACCCCTAAAATTTCTATTCAATAAAATTCTCCTGAATAGTTAATGTCATGTTTTAAATTTTTTTAAATAATTATTTTGTCATTTTACATTTTTTTTCTTATTATCATGACTGCATTCTATAACTTTTTATCATTAAATTTTATCTGAACATATTTTTATTAAATGATGGTATACAAACATAAAATTTATATAAATTTTTCAAATACAATGACATAGCTTAATGGTGACCTTTCACTTTAAAACAAAACATCCATAACTATGATTTATATTTACAACAATATCACTATCACAATGTTTTTATAATATTTTTTTTTATAAATATTTATATATGAATAGAATTTTTTATTTCGACCATAATTTTTCTTTCTCATCTCACCCACATTTATTACAGTTTCTTTCTCGTCTATTTACCCACGTTTATTACAGTATTACTAAATATTGTTATTCACATTTATTACAGTATTTTTTTGAATTTTTGTATTTTTATATTTGGTGAATTTAAAAAAAATTATAAAATATTATATTTCTTAAGTATATCTAGATTAGGTGTATCTAAAAAATAAAAAAAATTTACTTAAAATATTAAAAAAATTAGTAAAAATAAAAAAAATGTGAAAAATAAAGAAATTTAATTTTTTGTGTGAATTAAACCAAATAAAATGATTGTTATTTATCTTGAAATGACATAAATAAAATATTAATATTATTTTATTATTTTATATGTATAAAAGTTAAGAAATAAATATATCATTTTAAATTAGTAAAAAATAAATATAATTTTTTAAACGTTAAGAAGAATTTGTATTAAATAGAAATATATTGGTGTTAGTGTAATTTACCCTCATATAAGGCCAAGTTTGGCAAGTTCAGAATAAGTCAAAAAGTCAAAAAATTATTCAAAAAGTTAAAAAATTAACACTATTTACTAAAAGTCAACAATTACGGCGGCACAACTCCTAATTCCAATTTTCTCTTACAAACTAATTTTTATAATTTTTTATTACACATTTTTTCATAAAAATTCAAAAAGTTAACCCAAACATCTATATATTTTTTTTTTCAATTTTTTAGTTCAAAAAGACAAAAAATACACTTATTTAGAACACCCCAAACAACCTGATATGATCGGAATTAGTCGCATCGCACGTGGCTGGACTTGACATTGATTTCACGGACCATCTGTGAAATCAGTAGTCACCATATGTAATTGTCGAACCGAATTGTTGTCCACGTTTCAAAACCCAATTCTGATTTTCCGCCAAGTATGCACACACAATCTAGGTCTTCTCTTTCTCTGTGTGTGACCCACCCTCCTCCTCCCTCCTCTACCCCCACCATCACCATCACTCTCTTTCCTCCCTTTTAAGGTTATTTCCATGTCTCTCTCTCACAGTTAGAGAGAGAAAGTGAAAGAAAAAAAAGCAACAGTGTGTAGAGAGAGAAAGCGGTGCTACTAGAGAGAGAGAGAGAGTGTGTGTGTGCGCGTTGCAGACATGGGTGCTCTTGCTCCTGTCTGTCCTTGGATTCCTGAAGACGACTTCTTGCTCAAGAACGCCGTGGAGGTAATTTCTTGCATTCGACATCAATGCGTTTCCTTTTGGAGAATTTGTGTAAATATTGTTGCTCTGTTACAATACCCAATTTTCCGAATTCGGGTTTGAGGATTTTTATTTTCTGAATTTGGGTTGTATAAGTTGTTCTGCTTCGCTAAATAACAGAATAAATTCGACATTTTGATGTGTTTTACTTGTATTGTTCATGTTGATTGTTTTTTGCTTGAATTTCTGTTTATCAAAACTTGTGATTATTGAGTTCCATAAGGGCCTGAAGCTTGAGTTTGGCGTATTCCAAACGTTTTCTGGTCTGAGTCTGACAGATATTTAATGAGGATGTATGGAAATTTCTGTGTAAAGAATTGTTGTGTTTGACTAATTTTAAATTGGGTCAATTACAATTCAGTGTAGGTTTTTAAAAATAATTTCAGATAAGTGATAAACTTCATGAACAGTAATAATTAAAAATTTAAACCTTTCCATTTGTAATTATTATTATTTTTTTTTTTGAAAATTGATAACAAAATTTATTAAAGAAGAAAGTTTGGAGGACAAGAAGTCCTCATACAGTGAAAAGGAACCTAATCAAAATAAAAAACAGCCAACAAAAATAAGAGAAAACAAGCAAACCTAATCACTAGGGGTTGCAAACAGCAACCCAGTCCCTAGAAATCAAGAAAAGTGAAATTTCCTTAAAAGGAGGAGACACAAAAGCCCAAAAAGATGCCAAAAATCCAGCCCTATCCGACAAAGAATCTGCATTAGCCTCCTTTCCATCAAAGATCTGTGAATTTCTCTCCAGCCATATAATCCAGAAAATAGCACAACAATACAAGACCACAATGTCTTGGCTCTCTTAGAGCCGCCGAACCCATCAAACTTAACAAGAAGCATATGTTTGCAATCCCGTGGAACAACCCATTTAACATCACACAAGCCAAATAGGCGCTGTCATAACTGAATAGCCACCGAGCAATGAAAAAAGAGATGATCTGCTGATTCCGAACTCCTCTTGTACATCACGCACCGTTGAGGGCAAAGATAGTGATATGGCCTTCTCCTTTGCAAAAGGTCATTGCTCATGACACCTCTATTAGCCTCCTTTCCATCAAAGATCCGTGAATTTCTCTCTAGTCGAGCCATATAATCCAGAAAATAGCACAAACAATACAAGACCACAATGTCTTGGCTCTCTTAGAGCCGCCGAACCCATCAAACTTAACAAGAAGCATATGTTTGCAATCCCGTGGAGCAACCCATTTAACATCACACAAGCCAAATAGGCGCTGTCATAACTGAATAGCCACCGAGCAATGAAAAAAGAGATGATCTGCTAATTCCGAACTCCTCTTGTACATCACACACCGTTGAGGGCAAAGATAGTGATATGGCCTTCTCCTTTGCAAAAGGTCATTGCTCATGACACCTCTATGAGCTAAGGACCACATGAAAAATTTCACTTTATGAGGAACACCCGTTTTCCAGATTTTCATATGAAGAGAAAACAAAGGAACGGAGGACTTATCAATGAGATTGTCGAACAAGGATTTACAAAAGAAGACCCCTGAAGAGCTGATATTCCATACCCTTTTATCGGGAGATAACGCTATGGAAACCCCACCAATCAATGTCAACAAAGATGTCAACTCAAAAGACTCCCTATCACTTAGATTCCTAAGGAAATTGAAATTCCAAGATATTGGTGCCACATGAGAACATGTCATCGACGCAATTGAAACATTTCGAGCATGAACCAATCGATATAAAAGTGGAAAAGCTTTGTCAAAAGATGAATCCCCCACCCAAACATCCTCCCAAAATCGTATACTAGCCCCATCACCCACTTTCATAGAGAAAAACCGAGACACAATTGGAAACAAACGAGAGATATACTGGCCCCATCACCACTGAATTGTAAATTTCCCTTTTAAATTTTGGGTTTTGGAATGTTTATCTGATTATAAGATTCCCTTAACTGATTACTAGGATTTATACTTTTTGTAGTTTAGGACAAAATGGTAGCTTCATCTGTATTTGTCTTCCGCGTGTTGAGAGTGTGAGGCAGGAGCAGGATTGTTGGATTGTCGTCTCTTGTATATCTTGGAGTGCTTTAAAGTTTATCTGATGGATTGTCGTCGCCTGTATGTCTTGGGGTGTTTTTTTAAGTGTATCAGTATCTTCATTGATTGGCATTTTGTGAAGATACATTATATTTTGGAATGTCATTTAGGAGGTATCTTTAATGTTTGTGTCAGTTTATGGAGTTGGGGTGTCGATTTGAAAATCAAAATGGCATGGATTTGGAAATCAAATTGATATAGTTGGAATTGGGTTCAAGAGGAGGACACATTTATACCTAGAGCAGGGTGGATAGGCCAAACACTCTAAACTGATTACCCATTTTAAATTTACCAAGTGTACTAATCATCCACAAGATATGCCAATCAAACATATGACAATCATCCACACAATATTGTAGCAATAAAGTAGAAAAGCAACACAACAATCTGCGTGAAAAATTACTGGGAATAATGATCCTCACTGATAAAAACTATGGGCCAGTGGGCCTCCCTGCTGAAAGAAACAATCTACTAAATTTAAGTACAAGACTGAATAAAAGGACCTACAAACTCAATCTTGGATGCGTTTAGCCTTGACTGCTACTCTCCAAGCTTGCAAGCTCGAACTCCAGTCATTAGTTGCTTGGATACCTTTGTCAGCCTCATCTTATTTCACTACCATGCAACCCTAATTATAGTTGGCCACTCAGCAAGATCTATCGATGCACAAAGGATGATCTAAGTGCTATGAAGTGTTTTTTTTTTTTTTTCAAAACGCTGAGGGTTTTTGCAAATCAATTAGCCAAAACAAGTATTCTTCTTCGAATATATATGGATGGACTAGGTTTTCCTAACATAATTGTTTTTGTAGATGTAGATTTAAAATACCCTTTGAATAGAAAAACAATTTGGCACGATTTTCAAAATATGAAAGCCCACTTGACCAATTATTAGGCATGTGTTGAGTGCACCTCTTAGGATTTTGCTTTATGTTCCTTCAAACTAGTTGCTCGAGCACCTGTAAGGCAGGTGTCATTCTTGCTCAATTTGTCTTGTTTTGAACAATGTCAAACCCTAAACAGGGCCATGTACAGGCTATGCTAAGCGAATTTGTGAAATACAAACTTTTATCCTAAGCTGGAACTAGAGCTCTGTACCGTATTAGATCACCACTAATCCAAAAGTTTAAGCTATTAGGAAATGACCCAACAATGTATATCAAACTAACAATATCTGTTGAAAGGATAAATTTGCACACAACCAAAATTGTTGAAAGAAAATAGTTAGGGGATTTCTTGAAGAAATACTATCTATTTATGTTATCGTCTTTCATGATCAAACTGGTCGGCTTGCAGGAAATTGAGATTGATCAACAACTTCATCCACCTAGGTACAGAAAATGCTTTAGACCTTTGGAATCTATCAGTGCATCATTTCTCTCTTTCATTGAGATCCTTGGATACTTCTCCCCTATCGTCTTGTTCTTCTACAGTATCAAGCCAACCCACCTGCTATGAGTCTATACTGGCACACTTTATGGACCATTACGGCTCCATAACTGGGTTTATACTTGTGAAATCTCACACTTTTTTCATCAGCATTATGTAACAACTGATGTTAAAACCTAGCCATTATATTATGTAATGACCACCAGGTTGAATTTTCATGACCGTTATGTAACAACAGTTCAATTGTTAATTTTATTGTGGTAACGTTTAGTCTTTTGAATCTGGTCGAGCTGTTTGGATTGCAAGGTCTTATGAAGACTGGCTAAGAAGAAGCTGATGGGTATTTATTTCCTTTTTTTTTTTCTTTCTCGTCGAACCTTCATGCCTATCAACGACTTTATTCTTATTGCAAAAACTTCAGTATTACAGATAGTTTGTCAGTTATCACTTCTGATCCTTTTGGACCACTGCTGTCAAACTGTGTACTAGTAAAAGCAATTGGCATTCTTCATGATTTATTGCTGCTTTGAAATTCTCATTGGAATTTCTCTCTTTTGATCTTCTGCTTCCAGGCTGGTGCTTCCTTGGAATCACTTGCTAAAGGTGCAGTGCAATTTTCTCAGAGATTTACTGTTCATGAACTAAAAAATCGCTGGGATGCTCTTCTCTATGATCCAGTTATTTCTGCAGAAGCATCTGCTCACATGATTGAGTTTGAGCGCGCTGCTTCATCTCTTCCATCAAAACCTAATAGATTTGAAAACTCAAAAGAAGTCAAATGTGTTTCTGGGAAGAGAAAAGCTGAAAGTGTCCGTAATTGTTACTATTCAATGCGTAAAAGAATTTGCAATGAGCCATTTGACTCGATGGATCTGAATTTTGTTGTTGAGCCTGGTCATAATAATTTTTTTGGAAATGGAGATCAACCTTCTGCAAATTCCATTCTTGGAGATCCAATCTCAAATAATTTTGGATTAGAGGACTCAAATCTTGATATAACATGCTGTTCCTTTCCAGAATTTGGAGCAGGTAATATTGCTTCTGCTAATGTTGGTGTTACTGTCGATGCATTTTATACAAGATTCCACAATCCAGTTGAAGAGGATCTTCGCGTGGCGCACAATAATATGCTTGAACGAATTCCTTGTAATATTGGAGAGAATGGTCCTCTTGCTATGAGTTGTTCAGGTTTTGAGGAATTAGGTCAACCAAAAGTGCCAGTCTCTAACCTGTTTGAAAGCATTGGTAATAGGGAAAATTTGCACTCCGAATTTGGAGGAAGCCAGGTATTTAATTCACCAATCTCAGATTGTGGCGCATCATTACACAACTTGGGGTATGCTTCTCCACTGCCCCCGATTCCAATCTGGAGAACATGTGAGGGTGTTTCGGCCCTTACTATTCCTGATGTTCACCTGAGAGTGAATGAACATGACATGGAGGATACATTTGCACTTCCTAAAGATGGTAATATGGATAAGGCCAAAACTTCAGGATATGATGTTGTCCACATGGATTGCAAGCAGAAAGATCAAATGCCATGTGACAACTCAAAGAATTCAACTTCCAGCCCAAATGATTATTTGGCAGAGTTGTCCAATACACTAATGAATTTTACAAATGAGGAGCTTCTCTTCATGAATGCTGATGAAAAAGATGGAATTGAAAAGTCTTATATTGATGGCTTCAGCTCCCTTTTGTTGGATTCTTCTAATGGGGACATGCCTAATATTGCTGCAACTGAAGTAGCAGTGGCTCCAGATAATTATCTTGGAACTTCTGGTGGTGAACATTGTGAAGAATTAGATGACATGGGGCAGTCTCATTATGGTGATGGATATGCAGTTTGCAATTCCAGGTCCCAAATGCTGCCATGTGCATCAGCTGTGAATACTGAATTCCCTGAAATGCGCAATGGAGTAATTTGCTGCACATTGAACACTGAAGAAACTGAAATTCCGAGCAATGATGACGTTTTTCTACCCAATCAGATGCCGTCGTCCTCTCTTTCATCTCCAACACAATTGATATTTCATGAAGCTAATAATCCAACTTCCTCATTTGTGAAGGGCTTCTCAGATCATCAGAAAGCAAATGCAGGTTGCCTGAACCTAATGAAGAGAGAACAGTGTCACTTTCCCCCCCGGATGAGAGGATCACAGATGGTACCAGAAATGGGTCTAAGTCATGTAGTTGGTGATCGTGGGGTTAAATTTGAGTTGTCAAACAATGACAGCTCGTATTTGCCATTTCAGGTGTCAAGTACTGCTTGTCAAGGTTCAAGTAAAATCAGTGTAGCAAATGTGAGTACAACCCCTTTCCCTTCTGCAACTCTGAAAGATAAGGCTACAGATATTGAACAGTCAAAGCATCTGAATTATAATGCTGATTATTATGTAGAGAAGCCAGCTCCTGGTTTTGATTGCCCTTTGAGCTATCCTCAGGGAAAAGCTATCAGCATTAAACAGGAAGTAAATTCAACAACAATTCAAAATCAGCAAGCATTACCTGCAGAATTGAGCTCTGGAGAACTGTTTGTAAACCATTCATCAACAGATCAAGAACAACTTCATTTAGAGAATGATGGTGACATACCCCATTTTTCTGATGTTGAAGCAATGGTATAAATCTTAAAATATTGCCCTGTTAGCTTGACATTATTATTTTTTCTCTTCGATTCATTTGTCATAGCTTCCTGTGCTTCCCTGACGTTTTCTTGCAGATACTTAGTATGGATTTGAGTCCAGATGACCAGGATTTATATTCCAGCAGGGAAGGTAATTCCTAGCATATTTTTGCATTTGATTCATTACATGTCCCATTGTTCATTAATGGTTTTTCCTGTTAACCTTAAATGTTCTACCGTGGTAGTTTGATAATCATTTGAAGTTTTTATGTGATTTAGTAAATGCTTTCCCTGTTTGTTGTTTGTAGTTACTAGTGCAGAACCTGTAGGTACATGTGATGATGTTGGAATTCATTTCAATTGTATCACTCTTTATTTTTGTAGGACGTTTATGGAAATGTAACCACAGGTTTTCAATGTGGTTAATGTTTTGTTAAATATTGGTGGTTTGTATTTAGTGCACAACAACTATAATATGGACTTTCCATGTGAGTCACCTTATATGTCTGTTTTTTGCCGATCCTGTTACCACATAATTAGGTGGAATTCAGATATATTATTGGATTAATTACATTGTGTGTTGTGAGACAGAATGTGCAAATACGTAGATTTGTGGATTTGCTGTTTTAATACTTTACAATAAAGCTTGCTGCCACAAGATTCACATTGGAATCCTTCAATTTGTTGTGTGTAAAATCTCGTTTATTGCTTCTTTGTCCATCACTTATAATCGTTGACTCCATCTGCAGTGTCAAGATATCAGCATGAGGACAGTAAGAGGGCAATCATAAGGCTTGAGCAGGCTGCTCACTCTTGTATGCAGAGACTCATTGCATCTCAAGGAGCATTGGCTGTTTTGTATGGCCGCCATTCAAAGTTTTATATCAAGAAATCTGAGGTAATTTTACCCAAGTTATTTGGGTTGGCTGCAAGAATCTGCAATCCTCATCTTATCCTTTTCTTCAACATAAGGCCAGGTGGCTGCATTTATTAAGCTGTATGTAGTTCATGGTTTGAACTATTGTTTTTGGGTTTATGTTTGATTGATGAAATAATGAAAGTAATTTAAAGATTAAACTGGAGCATCATAAAACTTTGAAGAAGCTTGGGGCGTATTAAAACTGTCAGAAATTGACCAGTTCTTCTTTACACACAGAGATGTTACATAATATGTAATTGAGTACATTGGAGGCTATTTGCACCCACCACATGGTAAGATATCTTGAAACCAAAGAGTGAGTAGCTTTCATAAAATCTTAGGGATGATTTGGGTGGATTTTCAGCATTAACAAACTTATAAGTTATATATATATATATATGTATTTTTTTTTGTGCTTATTATTATTTCATTATTAATGGAATATAATTTGAATTTTATCTAAAAAATTAATGTTAGACCCGAAAACGACGTCAACTTCCCATTCACTCATAAATGGTTTTGACGTTCCGTCTTCACCGTGCGACTTGCCACGCGGCAAGGAACACTTCACCTCTTCGGACCCACCCCAAAAGACGTTTGGGGCCCACTCAAAATTGGGCTAAAAAATATGCCTATATTAAATCATTTTTCCAACACTGAGTTGGGTATGTGTGTGGAGGAAAATTTCTGATAAATTTTTCTTGGTGGGATTTAAATTTTGGACAAATGTGGTGGAAGTTGGAACATAAAGTGAATGTTGAACATTATGTAACTTTCTTTTTTTAATACGAAAACCACATAAGTTTTTGCTTGGATTTCTTGATTTGCGTTGAATTGTTATTTGCTGAGTTGGGTATGGGGATACAAATAATGGGGGCTGTTAAAACCTATCACCTACTTCACCCACTTAAACCTACTCCACTAAACCTAACCCACTACACCACTACCACCTCCACTTCACCTAACCCTCTTCTATATATAGGAATCATGAATCATTGTAATAGCAATAATATAATATCAATCAATAATACATAAATTCTTACAATATATATGTATTTTTTTTTGTGCTTATTATTATTTCATTATTAATGGAATATAATTGTGCATGCTTAGGTTTTCCTTGGAAGATCAACAGAAGATTTTGATGTTGACATAGACTTGGGAAGAGAAGAGTATGCTTATAAAATCTCTAGACGGCAGGTATGGTTTTCTTTGACCACCTTTGAGCACACTTCATAAACGCATGTTGGCACTAAGAAGCATCATTTAAGGCTATGATATCTGTAGTAACCTGGAGCTGAGAAAATTAAAGTTCCCAGTTGTTGCTCTGAGCTCTGTTCAGTCTGACATCTATCCTGAAAGCAATGGTCCTACCCTTTGATAAAATAGATTTGTACAAACTGGAGTCCTTAAATCAAGTTACCACAATGGTGTGATTTGTTTTAATTGGTCCGTATGTGTTTTCGGGTTCCCAAATGCAAACATGATGTGTCTGCATGAGGATTGAAATTTGTGATGGTCTTATTCAACGGATCAAGTTTATTGAAATTGGCTTGAATTCATTAAGTTGGTGGTTCTTGATGTTAATTGAAATCTATCAATTGTTATAGAATGAGGAAGACTAATTTTATGTCTTCAGCAGATTCAGTTTAAAGTGGGCAATAAAAATGAAGAAAAATGAGTGGGTTTTCATGCAGTTGCCTTCAAATACTGGTGTTGACTCCTCGTGCTATGGAACTTGGGTGTGGGTCTTTTGTCAAAATGGAATGGCCTTATTTTTTCTCTTCATTTATTATTTATCAATAATGTTGGAATCATTACATTATAGTATGCCTGGCCCATCATTTTTATCAGACATCTTCTCTGACAAAACTAACTACTGTACATAAATAATCATATGTTATCCTTAATATGAAAATATTGAAATTCCCTAGAGTTATGGGGAACACTTGGTCAGTTGTTTAAACTTGGCCTACTAATCTTGTGGTTAGGTTCAAACCTGAGGACTTTGTGCAAATTATGCCAAAGGCTAGTCTGTACCCAATCTAAACCCTCCCTGACCTCCATCTAATGGAGACTAAACTGAGTGTTGTTTAACTTTATACCCATTATGAGTTATGATACATTTTTCTATTAATAATGTTACTATTCAAAATGTTTGAGAGCAACTTCTCCAGGATGGATGTTGTGGATAAATGTTACCTGAATGGATTATTTGCATTGAAACTTGGCTAGTTTTTCAATGTTGTGTTGCCCCTGCATCCGCATACTTTCTCATTCTTGCCTTCTATTTTAGTGTATGTAATTCCTAGTGCCTTTACTATTTTAATGCAATCTTTTGTTTCAACAAGGATGCAGCTTTAGTTATTCGTTTTAGCTTATTACATAATTTTTATATACTTTTTAGTATTTAGGTAGCCAACTGGTGGGCATACTATTGATCTCTACCTTGAAGTGAGTATAATTTTTTATTGCATTTATTAGGCAATTATAAAGATGGACCAAAGCGGATCTTTTTATCTGAAGAACCTTGGCAAGTGTTCAATCTTCGTAAACAACAAGGAAATAGTACCTAAACAGAGTATAAACCTTACTTCAAGTTGTTTGATTGAGGTATTTTTTTACCTTCCTTGGACACTAGACTAATCAATTTTATTTTTTATTTTATTTGCTCTACTTGCTGAATTTCTTGAATCTAGGTGCAAAACAGATTTCTCTTTTTGATGACTTGCTCCTCTCAATGCTCGACTTACCTGGTTTTTGGTGATTACGTTATTTCTTTTCCCTTAAATTAAAAACAATCTGAATGTCTAGATTATCAGCATCAGTCCTCTGTTGTCTTGGTGTTAAACCTTATTGATTATCTTTCCCATGCCTGCATTCATTGTTCACTTTAAAAAGTGCTTTAACTTTTGAAAGGGAAATGACCCAGCTGCAGGATAATTAAAACTGGGTGAAAGAGAAATGGTCATGTAACAAGAAGGCAAAATGAAGATCAAAATAAGCTTGGGGAGCTAGAATGGCAACTCGAATGCCATAGGGGGACGTCCAATCCAAGCTTTTTTTATGGCCTAGCTATGTCCTTACTGTTAGGCATCCGTGATACCTAATCAAGATCGGTAACATAAGGACAACGCACAAGAAAGATAAATCACACGCACACACAAAGAACATGAAATCTATGTGATTTACCCCAAGCTAGGGCTACGTTCACAGATGCTGCGATTTTCACTATAATCAAAAAAGTTACAAGAGATTATAGTGATCACCTCCTCTCAACTATAAATACATAGAAAATTAAGGCAATAGGTCACTAGCGCAGCAATGGCCCAACACATGATATATTAATTTTATGTTTTGAGGGATGCATATGCCCTTACATGACTACTTTTTCCAAATTAACTCTTTCACTTATTGTTATAATCATCCCACGCAAAATATATGTGGAATCCTGTATTAGTTACTGCAATTGGGGCACTTTCAGGTAAAAGGAATGAAATGCCGTTCATATTTGAAACAAATCAAACTCGTGTGAAGCAGTATGCTGATTGCACCACCAAGGAAAGCCATACCCAGGACCACAAAGTCTGAGTAGTGCGGTGTTTAAATGAGTTGGGATGCTGTCAGAAGGTGCTTTTTTTTTTGTCACTGCACTTTTCAGCTCCTTGGGTTTACTGTAATCTGTTGTATGTATCTATCAGAATCTGTTTCTTGCTGTTAGAGACTCGTTCCACTCATGTTTAAATATATATAATAGAACACTTGCTTCTCTTATCTCTCATTTAATTGCACTGGAAGTAGTAAAAAAAGACAAGTGTCGAAAAGTAGTTTTAACCCTATTTTCACTAGTTGTCATTGGGAATGGGTTTGATAAAATGGATTGCTTTTCCAGGTAGCATCACTTGGCTGCAATACAATATTTTTTTATCAGAATTTTGACAGACGTTAGGGATTAGGCCAAATTGGGAACAATAACCGAATCGGGAGCAAAAAGTTGAGGGCTAAAGTAAGAATTCATTAATATTTTAGAACAAAATATAGTTTAAGGGTGACTTAAAAGAGTGATGTAAACTGTGGAGGCAGGGGCCAGCCATTTGAGTGCCCTTCTGGGAGATTATCGACCATGGGCCCCTTAGTATTAGTGAGTTAAAAATATAAAAAGTGCAATGCTGAAGACTCTTAAATTTACTCAGAATTTAGTTTGTTCTGAATGTGTGGTTGGTTGCCTGAAATTTGTAGGACTTAAAAATATGATTGTTTTAGAACTCATAATGTGATTATTAGAATAGCTTATATAGTTTCTGAGTTGTGGAGCAATTTTGACAAGTACTTGAGTTCCAGTATAGTGTGATAATCCTTGCAACTTGCCAGTCTCTTATGATATACTGAACAACCTTTCACTTTTGTTGCCATCATTTAGTCCTTGTCTCGAGCTCAACTATTTCATTTCATTATACATAACCAACCAGCCAAGCATCAAAGCTTCAAGCATAAGAATTTCCAGAGAGCTACATTGTATTTGTATCGATCTGTTATGATCATACTCTGATGCTTTTGCTTCTCACAGAAGGGTATCTTTATTTTTCAACTTTTGTTTTTTTGTCCTCACAAAATTGAGATTATTTGTCCCCCAGACAAGGAACCTTTAATTTCCAAATATCTTTATGTTCTCGTCTCAAAATATCTATAATCATTGTCATTTGATCATTAAAAATCTTAAATTGTGATAATTCAAGGTATAATCTAACAAATATAAATATTTTGAGAACAGTGGACGTGTCTGATGAGTGAACAGTGCACTTTTCTTTCATGCGTAAATCGGTCCCTGCAATTGTAGGTGGGGGACAAAGTGCACCCCAAGCTACCTCTGTCTCTGTCTCTGTCTCTCTCTCTCTCTCTCTCTCTCTCTCTCTGAGAATTTGGTCCAATACATGTTAGCTTCAAGATGACTAAAACATGTGGGGGACAAAGTCTAGCTGTCAAATAACAGTTTTTTTACCCACTCAAGTTGATTATATAACCAAGGGATTGTCCTACCACATATGAATGCACCAAGAAAATGTCAATAGCAAGAAGTTTATGGGTTTTCATCTTTCTCTCCATGGCCATTGTTGGTCTGAGAGCTGGCGGAGAGAGTTCTATCAATATTAACCAAACTCAAACCAATGCCACTCAAGTCGTAGTAGTCGACAATAAGAATAAATATAATCGAGGTGGTGGAGGCGGAGGTGGGGTTTTTGGATGGGGTTGGGGTGGTGGAGGAGGTGGTGGTGGTGGTGGAGGAGGCATCATCATTGGCATTTGGAGAGAAGGGAGGAGGGGGAGGAGGAGGGGGGGGAGGTGGAGGTGGTGGGTGGTGGGGATGGGGATGTAGAAGGCCAAGAAAATACAATGGACATAACCACCACATACAAAAGAAGAGAGTTTTCAACAGTGAAGACTACAAGCTTGGAGAGTTCGCACAATGCATGGTTAGAGGGAGGTGTAGAGGCATGAGATTAGATTGTCCTCTTCACTGTGGTGGACCTTGTTTCTATGACTGCAAATTCATGTGCAAGGCTCACTGTCGACGCCCCTAATTTGCTATAATCACCAAAATATTCGATAACCAAAATCACTGATGCCTTGGCACGAGCATTTGTGATGCATCAGTGATTTAGTGCACTTTTCTTCTTCTTCTTCTTTTTCTTTTTTTTTTTTTTTTTGAGTATGTTTTGTGTTAACTGAATAGATCATTTGTGTGGTTTCTAATAATTAGACTGACTCACGAATCTTTCTATTGTTTTGTTATTATTCTTTAATTTTGCTTAATTAAAGAGGAATGCTTGTTTGATAGTTTTGTACTGTATTTTTGTCTTTGAACCGCGTTTTTTTTATTTATTTTGATCGACTCTTTGAACCTTGTTGCCACCCACGAATGTTGTGTGGTCATTGGATGGCTTTTTTTTTTTTGGCTTAATTCTTTAATTTTACTTTATTTTTTTATGTACAATAATGTTAGAAATATTACACACATGCTCTGAGAGTTTCGTCTGATCCTATGTAAATTCCGTTTTTGGAAAAATTATTGACAGTGACATGGATATTGTTCGAACAGTTAATTTTGTTGAATATTTTGTATATTTCACTCACACAAAAAATTAAGTTGATCCGACAACTCTGCAAATTGTTCAATTATGGTTTATTTTTTAAAAATACAATTATTGTCTTTTTTTTTTAATAAAAAACGTAGTAAATAAATAAGTTACAATTATCGGATTGATTTAATTTTTTTTTATAAATGAAATACACAAAGTCCAACAAAATAAATAGTTCGGATAATCAAAATGGAGTTCATGATGAACCCCATGAGCCTAAATAGCTCCCTCCAATCCAAATTTTAGATGGGAGGGAATCCTCCCCCATAATTTAATACTCTACCTTACATTTATAGTTCAAATAAAAGGATGACGTTTTAGAATGTATGGTTGAAAAAAATCTACACAATATTTTTATATAATTCTTATTTAATTTTAAATTCCAACTAATGGATTATTTGTAATGGATTTATCTTGTTTTAATAAAAAGTAATTGTTGTACAAAATAATTAATGAGATAAGATCCTTATTCACATATGAGTGGTGTTTATCAATGTAAATTATGATCATTATTTTATTTTATTTTTTTAAAATAAAAAAGATGGTTTAAACCATTGTAAAAAATTATTTTTTCAAAAAAATAATTGGGCACAGTCGTCGACCCAAAATAAACTTCAACAGTAATACGATGTCATCAGTTTCACCATCTAATGCTTTTTCACCATTTATTGTCACATGAGAATTTATTATTTATTATTTATTTGAGAAGTTAGTTATTTGATTTTTTAATTATTTTAATTTTACTAAAATAATTGTGTTCAAAAAGTTGATTATTATTATTATTATTATTATTATTTTTTTGCAGTTGATTTGATATTATGAAAGAAAAAATGAAATAATTATGAATTAAATATGATATTTTATCTTATTAATTATTTTAACTTATTTTATTTATTTTTCAATTGACTACTCTAACTGAGCTATCTTCCCAAATACCCCCTGTATTAAATTTTTACTTGACCGACTCACCCACTTGATTGTACATGAAGATCCCATCCAAATAGGCGAACGATCATCAACTACAGCAAACGTGTCGTAACGTAATAAGAGTTCCACCAACATGACCTTAGACAACATCACCGCCATATCCTTTCCCGGGCATTGCTTATTTTCCACGGTTGGATCATCGGTCTCACGTCTATTTGTAGAGTTAACAACAGTCCTGATTTCGTTTGCCAATTGTTTGTGCACTTCCTTGCCAGCTAACCCAACCCATATGATCAGTGCTGGGAACCAAGCCTTGAAGCCACCATGGGCATTGGAACAAGCAAAAAAAAACTAAGTTATGGCAAGCTTCGTCTCGTTTAATCCCCATCCTCACAGCTTCATCTAGTGTTGGCTTGGCATGAACTTCAAAAGCATCACAAAGCTTATTATAATTAGATGTAAAGAAGGAGTTAGGTATCAAGTTCATGTTCCTAGCAAAATCTTTTAGAAAGCGTGGAACCTTCCTCAACCCTGTAAAATAAAACTGATGTATTATTGATTGATATATGTTATATTACAAGATTGTTGTATATATTGATTACAACTCCTATATATAGAAGAGAAGGTAGCAGATTGTGGTGGTGCTGGTAGGGGGTGAAGTGGAGGTGGTAGGTATAGTGGGTTAGGTTTAGTGGAGTTGAGTGGGTGTAGTGGGTTAGGTTTAGTGGTACATTAACAAACCCAAATGGTTGTAGCATAGCCATGTCATAGTTTTGCCATTTGTCAACAAGTTCAGGCCCTTCAGACCCGATAGCGGTGTCAGAAGGACTCTTATCATCACAGAACAATCGAAACACAAAGTCAAAACACATGCGATCGTTGAGTGAAATGAAGTCTACGTGGCCTTTATTTGTTGACCCTACTAATTCTGTTTCTAAGTTGGTGAAAAGGTCATCCAAGCAACTACGGAATAGTGGAATGAATTTATGATGGCAAGCATGAAGAATAGATGAAATGAAGGTTTCAAAGAAGAGTGATTAGGTTGGGAAGGATCGAGATATTGACATACACAATAACGGCCAGTGAAGGCCAAACTGGAGAAGAAATCATCAGAACAGGTTATCTTCTTGATCTTAGATGTGTCGAAGAGGATTGGAAAACTAATGGCGTCGAGGACAAGCACCACATAATCTTCGCAGATTGTCAAGCTAACGGATTTCATCTTGGTTTTCAAAACTGTAGATTTAGAGTTGAGAATTTGACTCCTGAATAACTCATCTGGACCTTGATCACCGTAATAAGCAATCAATTCTTTGAATTTAGTATGATAGGAAAACCATAACCCGATGGTAGTTTCTTAATGGAAGCGTCACAAAGGGATTAGTCGAAGAAGAAGAAGAAGAAGAAGGAGAAGAAGAAGACATTGTGAACTGTATATGGAATTCCATCGTATATATTGAGAATTTCCTAATTATAGAACATTTTGCCTTACGCTGTGTTTGGTTGGGGGATTTGGGAAGGGAAATGGAAATGAAAGGAAAAGGAGAAAGAATTAATAGAATTCCAAATCCCAACTATGTTTGGTTGTGTTGGTTATAAAATAGAATTGATGTCCTAAAAGGTATCCTATTTCTTTATTTATTTCTCACCCCCTTTCTTTTCCCATATATTTTTTATTATAACCAAACATAAATATGTTTACATTTCTCATTCCTTTTCCAAATCCCACCTCAAAAACTCCAACCAAACACAGCATTAGAGAAAGAGAAATGTTGTAATATCTGTTAAGTGTGTAATATTTGAACATTTAAACTTGTCTGGTGTATTATACTCCAAATAATAATGGTTCACATATCTTAAATTCTACTTTTTTATTTTTATTTTTATTTGATGTGTTATGATGAGTCTTATTAGTTTTAAATGTAAAAAATGTTACATGTCAACATTAAATTTGGGATAAAATTACATTGATCTTTTCTAATACTTGAAGAAAATATAATAAGTTCAATAATTTTAACATAATTACATTAATTTTTTTTTTTTTTAGTAAAGTTAAAAAGACTGACAATAATGTACATAGTGTGAACATACAAAAATAAATAATATAAAATATTTATTTAAGTATAATAGAGATGATATCATTTTCCCCCATCAATATTACTAATTAATTTATGAAAAAATGGATGTATTATGTGAATTAAAAATTTGAGGAAAACTAATATAATTATATTAAATTTGTAAAATTTACAGTTTTTTTTTTTAAATTTAAAAAAATAAAATAATAATTTACCTTAAAATTTATGGTATGAATAAATGAAATATATTAATGGGAGCTTTTTTTGATAAATCCACTTTCTAAGAGTTTTATTCCATCCAATCCATATTCTTTTTGACTATTCCATTAGGTCCTATTCGAGATAAGAAGACCAAAATACCCTTTTCATTCACTTATGTTCTATTTAGTTCACATTATTTTCTTATGTTTCAACAAGTCCTATGGGTGACATAATTACCAAAATACCCCAAATGTGAATGTTCACACCGTCAATGTGAATGTTCATATCGTCAATGTGTAGGGGCTCGGCCCATGTCGATCCCTGTGGGTGCCGGGAAAAATTCGAGTTGGGCCGGGGCGGGCTCGGCCCGTTGACAATGTGAATATTCACATTGACATGTTAACATTAACATTGATAGGAGTGTAAAATTTGCCCGCTGCCCGAAGCTTGCCCGCGGCCCAGGGTAGGCCCGGCCCGGCCCGTTGACAATGTGAATATTCACATTGACATGTTAACATGCATATTGATAGGAATGTAGAATTAGCCCACGGCCTGTGGGTTGCCCGAAGCCCGCCCACGGCCCGGGGCAGGCTCGTTTGGGTTCGGGCCTGAGCATGTCCGAGACCCTAGGCTAGGGCCTAGACCATCACTTTGAAGCCTGGCCCGGCCCATCAGCCCGCTTAAGGCCCATTCAAGGCTCGGTCCGAGGCCCAGCCCGCCCGAGGCGCAATGAGACCCGGCTCGCGCCGAGGCCTAGTGTCTTTTTTTGTGGAAAATAATAAAATTTTGTAGAAAAAATTAAAAAGAATTAAAAAAAATGGCCAGGCCCGCTCAAGCCCGACCTAAGCTCGAGGCTAGGCCCAGGCCCATCGGCCCAACCCAAGGCTCGATCTATCGGCCTGTCTAAAGCCCGAATACCCTTGTGCTAGGGCTAGGGCCTGGGCTTAAATTTTTGGCCCGTGGGCCGGGCCAGGCCGACCCGAATTTTTTCGGACACCCACGAGGCTCGATATGGACCGGTCCAGGCCTCTACGCATTGATAATATGAACATTCACATTGACGATGTGAACATTCACATTATGGGTATTTTGATAATTATGTCTCCCATAGGACTTATTGAAACATAAGAAAATAATGTGGACTAAATAGAATATAAGGCCAAGTTTGGGGTATGTAAAAAAAGCCAAAAAACTAAAAAGTTACTTAAAAAGTTAAAAAGTTAACATTATTCACCAAAAGTCAACAATTACGACATTCCCAATCTTAATTTTCCTCTACAAACCAATTTTTACAATTTTTTATTACACATTTTTTCATGAAAAGTCAAAAAGTTAACCTAAACATCCATATTTTTTCCCTTAACTTTTTAGTTCAAAAAGACAAAAAGTGCACTTATTTAGGACACCCCAAATAACCAATAAGTAGATAAAAATAGTATTTTAGTCTTCTTACCTCAAATAGGACTTAATGGAATAGTAAAAAAAAACGTAGGCTGCCCGAAGCCCGTTCGCGGCTCGGGAAAGGCTCATTTGGGCCTGGACTTGAGCCTAGTCCGAGGCTAGGGCCTAGGCCATCACTTTGAAGCCCGGCCCGACCCATCGGCCCGGTCAAGGCCCATTCAAGGCTCGGTCCGAGACCCGGCTCGCGCCGAGGCCTAGTGTCTTTTTTTGTGGAAAATAATAAAATTTTGGTACAAAAAATTAAAAAGAATTAAAAAAAATGGCCAGGCCCGCCCAAACCCGACCCAAGCCTGAGGCTAGGCCCAGGCCTATCGGCCCGACCCGAGAATTGACCCACTGGCTCGGGCCCGGACCCAAACGAGCCTGCCTCGGGCCGTGGGCAGGCTTCGCGCAGCCCACGGGCTGCAGGCCAATTCTACATTTCTATCAATGTGCATGTTAACATGTCAATGTGAATATTCACATTGTCAACGGACTGGGCGGGGCCTACCCCGGGTTGCGGGCAAGCTTCGACCAGCGGGCAAATTTTACACTCTTATCAATGTTAATGTTAACATGTCAAAGTGAATATTTACAATGTCATGGGTCGGGCTGCGGTCGAGCTTCGGGCCGCCCACGGGCTGCGGGCCAATTTTACACTCTTGTCAATGTGAATGTTAACATGTCAATGTAAATATTCACATTGTCAACGGGCCAATTTTACATTCCTACCAATGTGAATTTTAAAATATGAATGTTCACATCATAAAATTGCTAACCGTTCAAAAAATATTTATAAGGGTATCAAAATTAAATATAAGGGCATAAGTGTCCAAGAAAATAGTGTAAATCAAGAAAAATGACTTTATGGAATAAAACTATACATACATGGGACTAAATGAGTTAAAAAATTCCTTCATGGACTTCTTGGGCTAAAACACTTCTAAATAGGATTTATCAATAAAAATCCCTAAATTAATAGAATATGTTGGATCACAAATTCGTGCAATGCATTTAACTTACTCTAAAAAGGAAAGTCTGCTAATCCAAACTTACTTATTCAGAATTTTTTGAATGGGTGATTATATGATGAAGATTAATTTTTATAATGTAGAGTTCATGTGTGATCTATATAAGATGTGATGGACATTAATTTTTGAATTGATAAGGATAGATTTGTAATATTACTCCCTCTAAAAATCTAAGATTCAAATTAATTTCGCGAGCAATTATACCACTGAAACAAAAGAAGCACTTTGAATATGAATTGTAACAGAGTTCATTTGGGAAGAGAGGTTTGGAGCTTTTTTTGGCTAAAATAGTCACAAAAAATAAAGGGAATGGCTTTTGTCCGGTCCTTAATCGGACTGGACCGTGCTGTTGGGCCCGTGGAGGCCCACCACAGGTCCCGTTTTGATAATCTGAACTGTTCAATGTGTACAACTTGTCGAGTACTATATGCCTGTAAAAAATCACGTTGATCAGATATCGATAGCTATGTGATTAATACAGATTTTTGTTAACCGTTAGTTTATTCACCGTCCATTTTTTTTATACAAAATTGATTTGATCATATAGCTATCGATATCCGATTAACATGATTTTTTACAGGTATATAATACTCGATGAGTTCTACACATTCAACGGTTCATATTATCAAAATGGGACCCGTGGTGGGTCCCCACGGGTCCAACAGCACGGTCCAGTCCGATTAAGGACTGGACAGAAGCCATGCCCAAAAATAAAATAGGTTTTTTAGCTTAATAAGACAAAACATTGTATCTAACACATAATCATTACATTTTTTCTCTCACAAAAAAGTCAAAAGCCCTTCCCAAACGAAACTTTTTAGTTCCAGGCTAAAATAGCTAAAAAAAAAAACCAAAAAACTAAAAAACCAACCCACTTTCCAAAGCTTGTCATGTAAAAGTAAGAAAGAAGATTTTGAGAAATAATTTAAGAAAAAAAAAATTAATAAATGCAATCATGAGATATATTGCATGTATCACTTTTATATTTTATTTATTTATTAATTTTTAGGATAAATTACAATTAACTCCCTTAAAATTTGGAAATGATATAATTAATCTCATACTTTTGATACAATTATATTGATTGCTCTTTTAGTATGATTAAAACAGTCGAAACAAATACAGATAATAAATAAATACTAAATAATAAACATAAATATATACTTTTATAAAAAATATAATAATAATATTTTTTTTTATTTCTACAACTAATGAATTACTAAGATTAATATAATTATATAAAATATATAGAATTATGGGTGAAGTACCAATAAATTCTAGGATAAATTATGCAAATGGTTCTTATAGTTTATACGATGTGTCAATTTGGTCCCTGTTGTTTTAATTTGCTTAATTTTGCCCTTTAATTTAATAGATTGTGTCATTTTAGTCCAATAAATAATGGTTGTTAAGTTTGTTGGACGGAAAGTCTACATAATGTGCCAATTTGGTTCCTGTAGTTTACACAATATGCCAATTTGGTCCATATTGTTTTAATTTGCTCAATTTTGACAAGGATTAAATTGATACATTGTGTAAACTACATAGACCAAATTGATACATAGTTTTCCGTCCACCAAACTTAGCAACCGTTATTTATTGGACTAAAATGACACAATCCGTTAAATTAAAGGGCAAAATTGATCAAATTGAAACAATAGGGACTAAATTGATATTTCGTGTAAACTACATGGACTATTTGTATAATTTACCCTAAATTCTAAATAGTGATCT